TGGAATTATGAGGTGTGCACTGCCTGCACAAGAATATACGTCACAATGTGTCAAACGCGCGAAAGAAGTTTCGAATACATCATTGTTCGTCTAGATCGTAAAAATCGTTTGTACTGCGTGACGTCGTGTAACTGGTCGACTTTTAAAAATTGTTATGTTAGGCGGGGAACCAGCGGTCCGACGTGGAAAATATTTCATTGATAGATCAATTTGTTATCTATTTTTATTTGCGAATGGTATATTTCATCAAATTTAATCGTTTCATCAATAACACGGTGAAATGTATATGCTGAAAAATGGTTCGCCATGAAACTCGCGATTTCAATATGGCGGTCAGGATTATTAATGTGTCGTACGCAGTTATCTTGATTTTTGTACTCGTCGCATCAGCCTGGAGAAAAAAATTCGAGAGGTTCATTAAGAGAGCAAGCAGTATTTTGAATAGGAAATTACAGAATTTCCGTGGTAAATTAACAATAAAAGAAATTTTAATTAATGGCGCAGGCTACACGAATTCAATTAACTAATTTAGAATGGCTTTATTTTTAGGAAAGTTAACTAAGGAAAGTTACTAAGGAAAGTTAAATTCATATCCAATTCAATGTATTAGTAGAAACAGCATTAACACCTGAAATACTTTTTTCATTCATTGTATATATGTTTCAATTACGCAAATGACAAACATATTAAATTTAAAATTTAATCAAGATTACGCATATATTTAAATACAATATAATACGTATTTCAGCACAACGTGCGATTAAAAATGAAATTCACATTATTAACTTGTTCAGTGGACAAGGATCGTAACTCCGATTAAACGGTAATGTGAATCGCACAGATTCGTTGACATAAATTCGCGTGACTCGGTGACCAACTTCTTGCGAATCGTTTAAATTCTGAAATTATAAACCGGAACGCTCACCACGGTATTTTAATATTATACCAGGAATATATTGCCAACCCTGACATTCCATTAACATAATGATTACATTTAAAGACATTAAAATCCGATAACTCTTTCCATATGATATTTCATTAAAATGATAATTATCGATTCGGAATCTCCGTGCGTTGTGCGTAACGCCTCGTCCTCTGGTCACGGACGCATTCATTCATCCAGAAAACTGTGCGCCTTTTGTTTAGCTACCCGTTCTACCTTTCATTATCAAGTTTGACACGGCAACGTTCACTTTTACATGGCCGGGGATACGCGTTTCAAGCGACTTGTCCTTCGACTGACAGAGGAAAGTTGAATGACTATGAGGGAACCGAGCCGGGAAACGCGATTCCGACGTGTCTAAATAGGAAAATCAGTCACCGGTACGGCTGGTCACCGGCTGCGGAATGATTAGTGGCGGCTCATAATTTGGCGAAATGGTTTTAACTAGCCAACCGATTGCGGTGATTATTCTAGATGCGATTTACAAACGGTCATTATGGATGTTCGCGACAATTACCGTAGACGTTGATTTTCAGCGCGGGGAGCAGGGATTACGGTGGCGGCTTGATCGGGGCCGATCGGCGAAATTAACGCTATAGAGGAGCAATTTTCAATATCGTACTTCGGGGTAGCCAACACTGTTGGGGTTTGTTTGCGAATACCATCGCGTGCGGAATGAGCATTTGCATATTCGAATGTTTATTTGTGCGAGCGATATTACGTTGGGCAAACAGAAACCGCGCGATAACTTCATTTGTTTTTCAGGTAAACGAATAGATCGAGGCATTACCTAATACACGGCAATTAGAATTACCTGCGTCACTATCGTCCAGCGCTGTAATCTGATAAATATTGTTTTCGGATTAACCTTTTGTTCGTGAGCAATGACGTTTGTAAATCTAGATAGAGTGCTTCTGATAGTAGCTTGATTTATGTGTGTTATTCTTTGACACACTATAACTCTCGTGGTTAAGTTTTTGTCGATATTTAGTCTTTGTATGTTGAATTTGTTTCTGGCACACTGGTGTGCGTTATTTTTTAAGTGTGTTGAAATATCAATTTCAATTAATTGAGGGGGTAGAAAATCTATCAGTATTTTATTTGCCCGTTTAATTATACCGTTCATTATACTATGTATAATTAGTTCATTCTATGTGTATTCATAAGTCAAAAGGTATCTATTATTTATTTTATAATGAAACGGTATTACAAATTGGTTATTTATTTTTAACAGAAGAAACCTTGAACAATTCTTTTTTAAAACATATACGACAAAGTATACGTTACGCATACATTCACAACACCGTGTATCGATTGTTTTTTAACATAATGCCACGTATATTCGATAAAGTACGTTTTTGTACGTGACATTTTCTTGTATTCATTTTTTTCGATAATGTTACACTAAGTAAATAGTACCTAACTTTTTAATTGTCCACTTCTAATTGTTCTAAAATAATTTAAATCATTTTCATTTCAGCAACATGAACGATTAATTACTTTCATTCGAACTCGCAGTTAGCTGGAAGGATTACTTTCAATTTAAGATTATCCTTCAAACAAATAACCGTTATCTCTTATTATCATTCGCATTAGTTCATAACAATAATAGTCAGTTCACAAAGTGACAAAAAAATGACAGAAACTAAAATAAAATCTGTCTTGAAACATAACATTGCCTGTACGTTCGTAATAATATAATATTATTTCCAAATAATAACTGTTGCTTAGTGACTTTTTGAGCTGACAGTAAAAAGGACGTTCAAACTTGCCGCCATTCTGTCAGGTGAACGGTAAAGCGCGAACGCGATTGGTCAGCCAATGGCGCGTGGCCGTTAAACTAAGTAACGCGAAGTATCGCTAGGCGGCGTTAGCGGCGCACGGCGAGTACGCATCAGCGGCGCGCACAGCGCCGCGCATCGACGGAATAGAGCGAGACCGGACGTAAGAGAGAACGAGCTAGACTCGTTCGCGTTCCGCCGAGGTGGTGCAGTTTTCCAGTGTCGCGTAGAGTGTAGTGTTTTTCTTCCTTTCCCCCGTTTCCGTGGATCGAGTGTAGTGTGCGTCGATGAAGCGAGCCAGATCTATCCCCGATGATTAAAGAGTGCATTTAGGTAATTAAGAATATTCTTATACGGCCGCGCCCCATTAAAATGCGAACCTCGTCCCTTCGGGACGCCTCGCGACGAGCAGGCAACGACGGTGCGCCACTATAGCGCACACGCCGCGCCGGCGTTACTGCCGTCCGTTGAATTTTTCCAGAATTCTATCGAAAATTACATGTCCGTACGTGCATCGGCTGACCCGTGTATTCGTTTCGGGTACGTCGTATACGGGGCCGGTTCGCGTGTGTCGCGTTTCCGTGTGCAAGGTGTGCACAACGGGGGAAAAATACGTGCACGATGCCGGGAGGGAGACGATTCGCGGCGTGGTGTGACGCTGCGTCGATGTCGATTTCTTGGAACGAATTCGTCGACGTTTCGCAAACGAACGGGCCTCGCGGTATGTTCTCCCGTTTCCTCGTCGACCGGTTGATACACTCGCAACGAGCAACGTGCGGACACAGAAATACTCGTATACGTACAGTAATGCCCGACTATCTTATCGTGAAACGGTCGGTACAGTGGCGAGTGGAGCAGTGTTTTTCGTTGCCGCGTGTCGCTTACGTTGGTATCTCGTCTCATATTTCGTCGCGGTGACGGTAATACGTTCGGCTGCGTAATTTAAACGAACACGGAATACAAACGACGAGCAACGAGGAAGATAGGAAGCTAGTGCTGGCAAATCGAACGATCGGTTCTTTTCCCCCTACTTCGGATATTAACGAAAGAGGGAGAGAAGAAGAGATACAGTGCGAGATGTATATATAGAGAGAGTGAGTGAGTGAGTGAGTGAGTGAGTGTGCGAGAGATAGAGAATGAATGCCTGGCCCCTCGGGCGTGCGAGTGAGACAGACGTACTTTCTAGCCTGACGATTAGTTTTCTCTCGCGACTGTACCGCTTCTGGTCGTCGACTTGTATTTGCGTACCTTTTTCTTCACGCACCCGACACACACAGCGGACCTTACCGCGTGCTACCGTCTACCCCGAAACAATGCTCTTTCTTGCTGCACGTTTTCAATCCCCCAAAACTATTCTACCGGTACGTACACGGCAATTCCTTTAATCGCGTTCTTCCGGCGGCCGATGTTCCGCAAACGCGTGCGTCTTCTATCTTATGTTGGGCCACGTTTCCTGTCGATAACCTACTGGAATGTCATGTCATTAACTGTTTACCTCGCGGTTTTTCTGGCAATGTCGAACGAAGCGACCGAGGGGAACCGACTGTTTTGTATTTATCTCACGGACATGTGCCGAGCCTGATCACGGATCGTCGTGCACGGTGCAATCGTGACGAACCGTGTCCACATTATGGTTTGTCGTCCGTGTTGGTGACGCGAACCACAGCGAAATAACCGTCGCGTCGCGAAACCCGTCGGCCGTCGCGTTTATGGAAAAGCCGGTTTTCTGCGTTACATAAAGACACAGCGTACCGTATGTACATGTATGCATAGGTTTCTGGCGCGAACGGGCCGTTCGTCGGTGAAAGAGGACATTTTTCGTGAGCATGTACCCTTACCGGCGGCTACCGTTTGCCCCCCATTTTTCTTCAATCGGAACCCTGTTCCGATCGTAAATTCTCCGCGATTCCGACGCGCACCGGATCGCGCGGATTACGGACGGATCGTGATTGCTCGAATTAGTCCGTCGCGCGGCGGGTCGTCCGTTAACATTACGCAATGGTCTGGTGCAACGACCCGTCGCACGCGCGTTACACACGAAAAACGACGATTTTATGACGGGACCATTGTGACGACAGGTACATAGGGTGTAGGATGGCAGGGAGGGAGCAAGGATCGCGAACGGTTTAGACTGTTCGGCCATTGGCGTCGTTAAGTCGGTGTGCACACGCAGAACGCAGGTATAACGGAACGCGGATTGCACTAAATTCCACGGTGCAATTGCATTGCACGCGGCGCGGGGGACGGGTTGAGGAGGTTAGGGAGAGGGGGGACAGCAGCGGAGCGAAACGGTCACAGTCGCCGCCGGTATAGACGCGCGTGGTCGATTAGAAAGACAGGGCAAGGCTAAATATAGTGCGCACGGTCGCGTTAACAGAGCTTTTCAATTTGAAATTCAGATATATTCCGCGCGATGCGGTGCTTCGATAATTAGCGGCGGCGTGTCGCGTCGCGGCCTCCGGTGAACAACAGAGGGCTGTAGAGAGGGTGGGGGGTGGACCGATGAAAGTTAGACACGGCGCGTGTGTATTTACGGTTTTAGTTGGACGTTCGTATTGAAAAGGTTGACTGCTAGGTGAACCGTGACAGTATTTATCACGGGTGTACTCGTGTCGGTAGTATTGTTTCGCGTAACGGATTATTGAGATTTCACTTTGGGATTAACGGCCGGGACTCGACGTTGGGGTATGTTGCGAAAGTTTAATTAAGGACCGGGCATCTGTCGGTGTCGATAAATAACATGATTTTAGCGGGATTTTGTGATCCGCTGAACGAGGAAGCTTGTTTTATTGGGGATCGATAAGGATCAGCACGCGTTCCCGCGTTTTAATGTTCGGGGTTATGTGCGTTAACGAACGATACGCGGGTTCGGGTCCCACGTTGCCCGCCGTTTATTGTGTATAAACGTGTGAACTCGAACGCCATCTGCCAACGTCCCGCGAATTCTTGCTTCCTGTGGGGCGAGAAAAAATCACGCGCTTCGACACTTGACACTGTAATATCTATGGTAATGTTGCCTATGCTTTTCCAACGCTGGTGAATTCAAATTCCTTGAATGAAAGCAGGTTCGGTATATATAAATATGTTTATATTGAATATGTGAATTAGAATATATAACGTATTCAGTTATTTTACTGCGGGGCATACATATTGGGGGTCACGAAATTGGAACAAGTTTTATTTTGTTCAGTTGGACCTAAGAATAACATTACTGAGCAAGTATTTAGATTTATTATGCATTTGTTCTTTCATAGGAGATGTATAGCTTTCTTTGTATGGATTGATTCCTTGGAACATTTGTCATGTAAATATATTGAGGTATGATAGCAAATTGATTCTCTGCGGTATACTTTGTATTGTTGATAAAACGAGTTTGAGCTTTTTACGTTGAAATGTGAGAAAATAAATGAAAAAGGTGTAGTTTCTATTTCCATGTTTATATCGCATTAACAGAACATCAGAAGGCTAGACCCTCTTTCATAGAATTCTACTTCCGCCTCTGCAATCTTTTCTCACCATCGCTCAAACAAGATACATATATAACCTATCCCAACAGCGTGCTTTGCCCTCTACATGCGCTGTTCAGTGTAAAAACAGTTACTGACCTATTGGACTGTTACAATATCGAAAATATTATTGCATTCTACGTAACATTAGTTGAACTAATTGAACACCGCGTATTGTTTCGATTTTCTTTTTCATTTATTTCTGATTTGATCGTTTCGCCAATAGCCACTGTACAAATATCTGGCCGAATGAATTTGTTTTAAAACGAATCGCAATCGAAGAGTTAATTTTGAAACATTGAGTAGAGAATACAACCCGTGACGTTGCACAATTTTGCTTGAATTCTCTTAACCCCTTGCCGTGCAATGACGAGTGAGACTCACAATGAATATTTTTAGTTCGATTTAATAAAAATCAAACGTCATTGATCGTATATAAATCGAAGCGAAAAACAGTTTCATTATCGTAAATATTTTACCTTCGAAGAAAGTGTATATTTATAAAAAACAGAAAATTCCTGTATGTTCTATCGAATTATTGAAAATAAAATAAATTTAACGCGCGTGGCGCGAATAAAATGATACGGCAATGAGTTAAGACATAACAAACCTTAAATCCGTAATAAAAAGACAAATCTGCCCAACAGCTAAATGCTGGTGAGAAATTTATAACAAGACGGATGATCATAATAATTAGCGAGTGTGAAACCCGACTTGCAACAATGTTTCATGCTGCACCGACGTTTATTCAATATCGAAAATCGATGTTGTGCTATATCGAAAGTAAAAAAAGAACAACCCTGTTTATGGCACACCAGAACGAGTAAAAATAGTGCGTGTTATACTCTCGGAGCTTCACGGTGCATTGCGCTGCCTAGAAATTTAGCGTGGAAAGAATCGCGACGTTGCTGAGCGTTAGGCGGGAACCGGCATGGCGATCTCAATCTATGGCATGTGAAAAGCGTTCGCATTACACCCATCTCTCCATTTACGCGATACTTTCTTACGTGGCATTGTTTACACACCATATCAATTTACCCCATCTGAATTTAGTAGCACTGAATAAAATTTAAATCTCTTTTCTGAAATGTCATTATTATTTTTTTTTTATTAACACTAAACCACCGAGCATTTAACACGATCAATATACAATGCTCATACAGATTCTAATAATAACTTTTCCAGGTTGCTTTAGATATTCGTTATAGTATTCAAATAAAATTATATATTTTCAGAATCATTTTGTATATTTAACACGTTGACTGCCGCGGTGCTTGAAAACAATTACAATAAGAAAATTGATATTGAATCAAAATACCCAGTAACGCATGAAGCTAGATAATAGTGTAATATGAGTATTATAATCCCAAAACATTAATAATTATTCCTAATACTATTTTCCTCTATTATAAAGGAATAAATCTTATTATAACAAAACGCTTGAAATTCTCGTGGCAGACAACTTGTTAATAATATTAAACTATCAATAATCCGCACAAAATAAGAAAAGTAAAATCCGTCATTTCGACGATAGTGTGTATGAAGCTAAAAAATATGCATTTCTAAAGCTTAAGTTAGCTTTTTTCCAATACTTTGCTTTCTGTGTACTGATACTCTATTTTCGTGGTTTTTATTCGTATAAAACGAATCCACGTGGAATAGTTACTTCGTGTAAATAGAGGTACGGGTGTGTTTCGCGAAATCCGTGGGTCGTTAAAAAAAATACGCGCGGATACCGTCGGGATCGATATGTCGGGCCGGCGGCGCAGAAAAAATCCGACCGAGATAACGCCTCTGTCTGATAATGCGGTATGCAGAGCATGCGACCGGTGTCTTTGTTGAAACAAAGTGTCTGTCGCTACGTGTGCGACACGCAGCCAGACGTGCAAGTCGAGAGAGAACGCCGCTCGCGACCGACAGAGCAAGAAACCTGTCCAGTGCACTTTTCGGTGCGGCTGAGGGGCGCGGGCGGGAGGCATTGAGAAAGGGACGTAGCTACGAATAGGGGAACCTCTTCCTGCTTTGTGCTTGGAATGGGATACCGTTTATGAAGCGCGTCTTCATTTAACCCTGCAGAGACTGACGGGGATTTCGTGCCTAACGGTTACGAAATATTACAAATATTTTATTTCCTTTGTCTGGGATATTTGAAAATGAGTTAGTTGCGACGTGGAGTTTTTATTTGATCATCAAGATCGAGGAAGGTTTCTGAGTCTACCGGTTACGGGATACTTGAAATATTTTATTTCCTTTGTCCGGCATATTTAAAAATGTGCTGTTTATGAAGTGGTTTATTTATTTAATATTGGAGATTGGTTAGGATTTTTTGAGTTCACTGTGGTTGCGTGATATTACCTGATTTTATTTCTTTTGTATAGGATATTTGAAAATGCGGTATTTATGAAATGTTTCTTTTTCTGTAATATTGGAGATTGATAAGGATTTTTTGAGTCTGTTGTGATTGCAAGATAGTGAAATATTTTATTTCTTTTGTATAGGATATTTGAAAATTATTTATATATGAAATGGATTTTTTTATTTAATCTTGGAGACTGGTGGAGGTTTTTTGAGTCCAGCAGTTACAGGATATTGTGAATATTTTATTTCCTTCATCTGGGATGTTTGAGAATAAGTTATTTATAAAATGGATTTTTATTTAATTTTTGAAGTCAATTGGAGTTCTTCAAGCTAGTTATAAGATATATAGTTACAAATTATATAGTTATAAAATATTACAAATATGTTCTTTTTTTTCATATAAAGTATTTGTAAACAAGTTATTTATTGTCATACTTTTAAATGTGGTACTGTACTTCGTTAAAGATGTTATTTTTACAAAGAAAGATTGATGTTAAATATATATATATTACATTATATATATAATTGTTGTTTACAGTAATGCGACACCCTAACCATAAATTAATATGTTATAACCATTTTTAATACTGTACTTAAATCGTATAGAAAACCTATTATTGTATACTACCAAAATGTTCGATATTTCATTTATCTACAAATGTTTTCAAAAGAATATAGAATTTATTATATCAATGATTTATAAGTAGCAAAAGTACGTGCATTAATAATACAAACGGATTATTTAAACGCATTACTCATAAAGTGTCAACAAACCAAGTCTTTCTTCGAAAAAGCTTTCTTGCTAACAAAGAACAGTACCAGCAGTGCACAATAGAGTTATGATTCTCGTGTTGACAAAGATGGTCATGGACAGTGTCACGTTTAATGTCTTACCTTCTTCGACGACGTAGAATTTCAAAGCTATCTTACTCATGAATAAAGCTTGCACAGTGCGATATTAACGTCCAAGGATTGTTTTAACAGAAATACGTGCTAAGAATGTTGGAAATCACAATCTGTTGCTCTTGTGATTTTAGAAAATATTGTTTCATGGGAATTGCTTCAAATAATCCTGACACAGAAACGAGTATATGGATTATCGGTTCGTACGAGCGTTTCTATGTCACTTGAAACTGAATGAATGAAAAGTATAGAAATTCAATAACATATTGACACTTGTCAGGAAGTTCTGACTTAGTTGTTTGTTAAATAACTTCGTTTTAAAATATCGCATCGCGTGTTCCACGAACTGAAAAGGATCACACTCTTTGTGTCGCGTTATCGATGCTACCATTATTCTTTGCATAATCGTGTCTGTATTTCCTCATACAAACGAGTTCATATTTTTCAAACCATTATCTACGAAACTTTGGACCAGTGCTCCTAGTGTCAGACACTTTTTCTTAACGTATTGCGTACCAGGAACAAGACATCTCGTTTTTATGTAAACGCCTGTCTACGTAGCTTTATTAATTGTCACATCGTTTAAAAACTATTAACCCTTTGCGTTTCGAGATACTTTTACATTTCCTTTTCAATACTTTTATATTATTTTAAGTGTTTTATATCCATAACTTTCTCATCAATTAATATTAAATGTAAAGTATCCATTAATATATAATAATTTAGATAATAAACTATTATCTATAACTTAATTTTTCCTGAGTATGTATATTAATTTTCGTTATTCAGACTATCATTTATTTTTTCAAAAGTCATTAATTTATTTTACAAATGGGGCTGGAGTTACTAATCTTAACGTTCAATTATCAAACATCCCTCTCAGGCCATGATACATGAACGATAACTACTGATAACAAGATAACGATCTCGCTATCCAAAATATCGAGAACGATTCGTAGGCTTTCAAAGGAAGAAATGAGCGACTGTTCGCGAGGTGTCGACTCGGACTATGAACCTTAAAGACGGACTATCAATAATTACATTCTGCACATGAAAGTAAAATAAGAAACGGTGTTCGCAATTTGTGCCCCTTCTGAGACATTTCCGTCGCACTTTTAGGTATTTATCGCCTGACCTGAAAACTGAATGTGCGAAGCCATAGTCGGAAGCATTATACCTTCGTTTCCCTGGAATGACGAACATTTCGTCACCCTGAATCCCTTTACCCGTGCTTCTAAACTCAGGAAGATTCGCGTGTGTGCCTCCTAATGTCTTAATTCCGTGGCAAACGGCTCGTTGGAAGCCTATTTGCACAACATTGTCCGTGAACTCTGCCCTATTACCCTAATAGGTATTACCGGTAATTAGTAGTAGTAGAGTCAATTTCTGTTAATTACTATACATGTTATACATGAAAATATAAATTTTTGTAAGTTTCATTTGAGCTGAAACTGAATTAAATTTTAGTTATTCCATTGGAAATTGCATTAGAGTCAAAGAGGAAATAGAAACTTTATAAAATTGTATAAAATAGTTTATTGCTCTGACAGTTTCGCGCTACAATATTTTCATAAATTTCTTTTACCATTAATCGTTTCGTATCCTTCGAAACAACTTGAGACATACAATATTACATAAACTTTATTCATTTTAATAATTCAATAATAGTCCATTAACCGTTTAATTCCAAAATAGTTCTATATTAACCGTTTGAGCCTATCGATTCATTGAGTCCAATTAAATTTACGTATTTATTTTAGATTTAATTATTTTAATTTTCTTTATTACTTGCTTATAAATACAAAAATGGCGTGAACGCACTATTTAGTATGTTTTAATATTACACCTTATTAATTTCTATAAATTCAGAATTACGATTTCAGTTTCTTATATAAATGAAAAGCTTTCGTTATTATAAATTGAACGATAACGATTTTTTGTCCATAAACCAATGGGAACATGAGCAACACTTGATTTGAAGTTCATGAGAAACATTGTTTACCGAAAAAATTGACATTTAAATGATCAAACACTTCTGTAGATAGATTTTGTACCGAAAAGTTCATTCCTCATTTCCGAAATACTATCGAGTTATATATGTTTCGATTAAAAATATTCAATGAGTTTGTGGGCTTCTCGCCAATTCACCTTTTAAGTGATCAGTCTTTAATAACCTCAAATTTGCTTAAACAACCGTGGTCTAATCATAATACATGCACGTAAAGACCTCATTCGATTCAATTTTTCAACCTTCGCCGCTTAATTCATCGCTCCTTTGTGACAGTAAGTTTTGTTTAACTGGCTCCTACGTGTGTTTGCCTCTCTAACGAGGAAACGGTTCGTTAGAAGCGACAAAGAGTGGTACGCGCTTGCATTGCAAGTATTTTTGATTCGAGATGAAACTTTTTACAAAATTACTAAACGAAGTTAATTAATTCTATGTTATCATGCTATCGTTAGAATTAGAACATAATCATAGAGAATTCACACAACTTATATTCGTACAAAAATTATACGTTGTGAACCATTTGCAGATTCAAATTGGGAGAATTTCAAACCTTCATCTGCTTTGTCATAGAAATTTCATTCTTTGCTCTAACAAATTTAAATTCGTGGTAATAAATTTTTGTAACTAATACTTGAAAGACAAATGGGGTAAAAGTAGGGACAGCAAATTCATATTTACAATATAATGCTCCAAACAAATTGTTTTATTATTCAAATAACAGGATATCATTACATACTTTCCTGCTTTTTAAATATTTAATACTAGAACTACCGTACTATTCAATATTCGAAATGATTTTGAAAATAAATAATTCCACTTAAATACTATAACGAATGTCTGAAGAAACAGAAAATAATCTATTGTCATGCTCAATAGTTTTAATGTTAAGAATTCAATATTTATACTTGCTGTATAATTTAGCTTTGTCTATTGAAAGTGTTATAAATATTTTTAAAAAATCCGCATCTCTGAAAATTAAATTCCTTTGTTTCAAATATATAACGAGCTTCTAATGAAATAAAAATATTATTTTTACGAGTCACTCTGAGATGCTTTTTGTTCATAATTTTTATGATAATATCTCAAAAATATTAGTCACAGGGTACTGTGATAATTAAAGAGTAAATAAACAAAGTTGACCATTTATGTATCACGTGTTCCACATGCATCACGGTTCCCACATATCTCGGAATTTCTGTGCATCACCGTGGCGATCGTGGTACTCGCGAAATATAATTGCATCGTTTATTGAGAAAATGAGGGAATTTAATTTTTTTCTGTCAAGATATTTACAGTACATTAATAATATTTACTATAAGTTTATCCACGTTAGTATGCTTTAAAATATAAATAAATGCGTTACATAAATGATTTTCACAAGAATTATTCAAACATATAATGTTTCTATGGACCATAAATTTATGTACATAATTTTCATACTAAATGATCAATTTAATATTATTTACTACTACAATTTCCAAGTTATTAAATCATGTGGATATTTTAAAATGTAAACAATAAATTGCTTAGAAACAAGATGATACTAAATGTACACATTTCATTCTTTAATTACTTGCGTTTATTATTTTTTTCTTAACTGTTGCTCTATTTTTTTATTTTTTTGTAATATCCAAGTGATTATGCGGTATTATTTACTAATGAATATTCAGTTCAACAAAATACATAGACATTTCGAAATAGAAATGATAAATTACTTAAAAATAAGGTCATACCAAATGTGCATATTTCATTCTTTTATTTCTCGTTTTTTATATTTATCTTAACTGCTGTTCTATAGTTTTCGTAGTACCTAAATGATTATGCGGTATATTTAAAATACATGAATATTTTAAAATAGAAACGGCAAATTGTATTTATAAACATAAAGTCTCAGGATAAATTACATATTTCAGTTTTTAATTACTTGTTCCTTCAATGCCTCTCTAAAACGTAAGTACTTGGGTACAACATTTTCAATAATAAATGTCCAATCGTCGTGCTGATGATAATATGTACGCCCGTTGGTTTGTTAACGATTCGCGTGCCGTTGTTCTTACGAAAATAGAATTTACTTACTGAGTGGATGTCGTCAGTGCTGTCCTTTGTGTTTAAGTTGTAGGCTATTATTCGGGCTGTCCGCTTGTTAACGGGCTATTTCCACTGGGTCGGTTCCGGTGATTCATATTTTGGCTATTACAGATAGCAGTAGCAAAATTTCTTATGGTTTTGTGTCGAGGCTAATTTGTCGTACAATTTTGTTGAAAGTGTTACAGATTTCCTGACTACTAAACTGTGGAATTTTATAGACATTGGAGTTGTTAAGGAAATAAAATACAAAAGTAGAAATACGGTAAAATATATTTTTTTTCGTGTTATGTGTATTCTATACACTTTTAGAATTCAGGATTTTCCATAAATGTATAGAAATCCAGTGCCTGTATAGTGATCGATAATGGGCACTATCAAATGTCTGTTGCAAACAACATTTGCAATTGAAATATTTGATTACCAGTCGCAGACCAATATAAAATTTTTAATTTAACCAATGTGTAATGTCAATTGGCGATTAAAGGGAATGTTTAATCGTCGAATGAATGTATGATTAAATTAATTATTTGTTAATTAAATGAATTCTCTGATTTTTAAATAAAATTAATTGAAATTAAATTAATATTATATTATTAAATTTCTTTGTTGGCTTTCAATAACATTTGAATAATTTATTATAACGGTAAATATGGTAAAAGTAACTCTGTCGTACGACGTTTACACGTCAAATAGAATTCCGGGTTGCGTTTCAATTAAAAATTAATATTGACGATTGTTAACAAGCAGTTAATGTTAATAATTATCGAATGAATAATTAATGTTTAACGATTGTTTTCTTTCAATCATGATAATTCACTCATCAATCAAATTAAAAGTGCCAGTCGACTGATACTCGACACTTAATAATTCATATCGATTTATCGCGCGTAGAGGGGTTCATTAATTTATTTTAACCCTTGCAAAAACTACAACGTTAATTGGAGTACTTAACAAAAGAATATTATTGTATGCAATTTTAATTCTTAGATACTATAATAAAAAGAAAACAAGTTATGCTGTCATTATAAATATTGCAAAATACAAAAATCTGTTTCATGTCGTTACTACTACTAATATAAACCCTACTGTTCATATTTTGAATATTAAATTATCATTCCAAAAATTGCTTTTGGAACTCATTGCATTTTCTCATAAGGAGGACAGGAGATCATTCCAAAAATTGCTATTAGAACTTATTGCACTTTCTCATAACATTTATAAAAATTCTATTAATGATTCTATGTTAATTTAAATTATTCTAATAATTTCTCGAAATTTATATGGACTAAAATGTAATCGTTGATAATCTTCGAGAGTTAAACCTGAAATCTCGAGCAAAGGAAAACGATTTTTCTCGCGCGTGTAATCAGCGTTGGGTGTGTTTTAAGGACGATTTACTAATTGAGTAAATATTTTGATTACAGTGCAAGGACTGAGCATACCTGGGAGCGTTTGAGAAGCACATCCCCCGAGACCCCTCCAGCCAAAGTCACTCGCCTAACCTCTCCCCTGTCCTCCTTATCCTCCTCCACACCCTTTCCCTCCGCAAATCTTGAGAAGAAAACCCCCTATCGTAATCACAGATCCCGTGACTTCGTTATGGACGGTATGGATTCCAAACCAGTCTTGAACGACGACCCCTCGGTCACCCTGACCATCCGCCTGATTATGCAGGGCAAGGTAAGAGACTTTTCACCCATTTTGTTCGTCGATTAAACCCTTTCTGCTCTTAACTCTTTGCACTCAAAAGTTCTTCACTAGAAATATTCAACATTCTTTGATTAGATGATATTTTTCAAAATTAACCTATTGAGAAGTCACTCGTAAATTAAGGAACAAAGCTATTATATTTCAGTTATAGAAATATTATATATTTATATGATTATATTATAAGAAATTTACAAGGGGACCTTTTCAACCGGTACACTTCGATTTTGATGAAACTTATGTGAATTACAGTTCTCATGATAATATTTGACACGTATTTTTCCTTATCGGTAAAAATCCCCTTTGAAGGAGTGAAAACCCCCTTCAAAATTCAGGGTTAAAAGTATATTTTTCACAATATCTCTGAATCTAGAAAGTGTAGAAAAGAAATTTTTTGTTTAAATTGTTCGCCTGCGCAATTTAGATTTCTCTTGTACACTCCGTAGTTTCAGAGACACTGTAAAAAATAGTTTCAGCCCTGAACTTCGAGGGATGTTTTTACCTCTTCAAAGTGGATGTTGGACAATAAGAAAAAATACGTTAAAAACTATATCTCACATATGTTTCGTTAAAATTGGAGTGTGCTGGTTAAAAAGGTTCTCTTGTTAGCATTAAATATTAAACTTTATTATTTTGCTGCATTGAAATATTGGCAACTGAGAGTCGCATCTCGAGTGCAAAGAGTTAATTATTCTAAATTCTTACTGTTATTTTCGTTTGAGATATGTCAAAACCCTTCAACCCGTTACCGTATTATTTCTTTGGTAATTACGCTCGCAAACATTACTTCGGTTTTAACCTGTTTTCAACTGACCTTTAATTATACTCTCCCAATATTACCAGGGTTAGAACATGTATGGCTGATTATACGTAGATATTTAATGTAACGAGATATTTATAATTTATTCTATTTAAAATATTTACAATTATTCTTCATTACCATTTTTTTTAATCATTACAATTATTAGTACTAATTATGGAACTTGAAAACGCAACGTCATAGCTGACGGATTATTCCGCGTTCGGTGAGAGAGAACAGACTTCCTCGTTCAAAAGTACTAGGAAAACAATAAAATTTAAATGAAATTTTATAATATTCGTTCAGTTTCTTATAAGATAAAAGGTTAAAGTAATTAATTTATATCCTCGTAACAGTAAAATATAGTAAAAGTATTTTTTTTTGTTTTACTATTGAGGAGATATAAACGCAGTAGTACTTGTTTATTCAATTAAATATGTAGATTTAAACATATCCCTCTCGTAGCATCATTTTCATGAATATGATACTGTGAAATACCTTCAGGGCATAAGGGGTTAACGCCTGGTTTCATGGTTCGTTAGCGGAATGTCCCGTCGAAAACCACCTGTTCATTTTCCAAACTGTGCTCACCCCGATTACTGTTTGCCCCCGACACCTAACGAACGAAGTGTCGAAACTTGGAGGATGTTAGGCTCGAAGATAAATAAATACACGAGGAAATTGATCAATAGAGAGAAATCTTGATATTCTTGATTTACAAGCAAACGAAGCTAAATATTTTAAAACAGCAGAAGTCGACTAATCGAGGAAATCAATCTTTCTTTTTATCTTCATTATTCATTCATTATGTATTTTTTTGATTCTTGTTACAAGCATTGGCTACACATTCATCTTCATTAATATGTTGTCGTAATTTCTTGAATTGCAAAACAGCATAGGTCCATTTTTTTAACGTTATCCATATTACGTATTGATGTAATCGTTTTCTGCTTACTCAGATCTATTTAATAATATTAATCTTCATTAACATTTTAATATTATTAGATAAGTCTGAGCAAGTTGAAAACAATTTCATTAGTAATTCAGTTTTTGGAATTCACAACTTCAGTTGTTACCAGAATATGGCTACAATTGAGGTTCTTTATATATTAAAAGAATATTGCCAATTTGCTAACATCTCTCGTTAAGAATTTAGTTCACATTATGCTTAATAAAAATGTATCGCGTAAGTGGTTAAATTCGTCCGCTGTTTTGATCGGGTCGACGACTTTCGCGTTATTACAAACTAAATAGTTGGTTCTCGAATGTCAAGTATCTCAATCATCGCAAGGCAAGAGTTGAAGACACACTTATTGGCACGTTTATATCTGTTTCCCATGATGCAAATTACTATTGTCGAAACAGTAAAGAACTTCATATTTACAATGAAAATTAGAAAACAACTGTAGTACTTATTCCTCTGAAGATAGCACAAAAATATAATTGATTTTTAGTTGCAGTAATATCTTTACTTTGTATCACATTTTATTTCAAGAATCCAAAAATTTACAATTGTATTAAAATTGAAATAAAAAAATTTTTATTTTGATTTGTTTTGTCAATTTTTTGAATTCACGAGAAAAATAAATATTTATTTTCTTAATATTGTTTGTAATAATTTTAGAATTTTACTGCCCAGAAAATGGATATTTATTGATGTTATCTAATATACACATGAAACATATATTTATATCATAATCACATATCTTAGTTAATTAATTAAAATCAATAGTCTGTTTTCTATAAATTTTCATCGGTGAATAACATTGCATCCGT